CCGTCAGACTTAGATTTTTCTTTTTTCATTAAGGATAAATTTAAGATGTGATTAAACTCATTAGCACTTCGATCTATCAGAATTTAGGGAGACTTATCATAAAATTTTTTATCAAAATATTTCCCACTATCAAAAACTGTTAAGCTTAGAAATGATATTACATATTTTTGTCAGTTTGAAAGGGAATCAATTTATGAAGCTTGAAAGAGATTTAAAAATCTCCTTAGAAAGTGTCTATACCATGCGTTATCAGATTGGTTAATAATTCAAACTTTTTTATAGTTGATTGGTTGGATCTCTTAGATCGATAATTGACACTACTGCTGGTGTATCATTAATATCAAAATCATTTGATGAAGAGTATTCATTAATACTGTTTTTCTTTCACCTACAAAATTTTTATACTGAACATTTTTAATTACTTAAAAATTTAAGTTTGAGGGAAAGAAATAATTAAAAAAATAATAATAAACTAAACTTAATTTGTCCTTAATTGACAATATTTTTAAAATTAATTTAACATGACCTTGGATGTTATGATTTAACTTTAAATGGTTATATTTATGTTTGTAAATATTATAGTAAATTTAGGTAAAAATTTTAAAAAATAAAGGCCAATTTAAAAGTTAAAGATATTTGGTATGAAAGAACCAGACTATGTTTTTCTATTTAAAGTAAAGCAAATTGTATTTTTGAAGTATTAAAAATCTTAAGAGTTTTATGAAAGAAAAGAACAAAACTTTATGAAAAATCTTCAAAACTAATATAAATTTATAAAGTAACAAAAGGTAAAAAATTTTAACTTTAAAAATATAATAGTGAAGTTCAAAATTATTAAAGATTATCCAGATATAGTAATCATCAATTGAAAAAGAAAAGAAATAAAATGATTGAAAAGATCCTAAAATAAATGTGAAGAAGTTTGAGAAGATGTCTAATTAAAAATTGGTTTCACTTTAATCAACTTAAAGAAAAGGCTTTATTACATTTTCTAAACTTGTATTTGAGTATTTGCACCATTAATAGTAAATTTTTCATGAAATTCTTTTTCATATGGATATTTTAAGTATCCTTGATATAACAAATTATAGTTCTTGAAATGAATGAAGATTCAGAAATCTTAGAATTGATTACTAAGTATTCTTATACTTATAGTTTTAATCTAAGTTATTAAAAGTTTTTCTTAAATTGTACTATTTTATTTAGTAAACTAAAGTATAAAAGTTTATAAGTTAATCTCTAACCTAAATTATATTTTTATCAGTAAAAGAGTCACTTGAGGACAAGTAACATTTATATGCTTATTTTTTGTAATATTGCACTTTAAAGAAAGATATTTTCATTTTTTTGTTGCAGGTATATCAATTTTAGGCATTTTAAGCAAACGTAACAAAAACGAAGAATTTTAGAGTCTAAATAGTGAACTTTATGATTGTAGCACCTGAGGCTCCAGAACAGCGCCAGAGGCACCAACTTACAGAGAACTGACGTCTGAAGCGCCAGAACTAGCGCCAAAGGCGCCATTATAGAGAAAAGTGGTGCCTGAAGTGCAAAAACACAAAACAGCGCGTACTTAAGTAACTTGGCGCCTCAGGCGCCAGAGACAATATTTGATGGATTAAGGCGGTTCAGGATAAATTTTGAGTGTATTTTGAAGGTTTCAAATGTTTCAAACGCCTCATAAAGTGATTCAATGCATCTAGAAGACTCTTCAAAAATGTGTGATTTTTAGAGAGAATTTGGGAGAGAATTTTGAATTCTTTTTGAGAGAACGCAGCCCCTAATTAAAAACAAAGGGAGTCTATGTTGTAAGAGAGATGAGAGAGAGAGTTTTGGTGGTGGCGTGAGAGAGAAGAGTGAGGAACTTGGAAATTTTCTTCTAAAGATTGTAAGAGAAGAGAGAAAGTGGGAGATTTTTTTTTCATTACATTTATAAGAGAGAATTGAGAGTGTTTGTAAAGAGGAAAAGTGCTTAAAGAGAACTTTTAGGGATTTGCTTGAGAAGAAGTGTGAGATAAGTTGTGTTATTTATTTTTTAATTTTGTAAATTTGTTTTATACATGAAATTCGTGTTTTGTTGTTTCCTTCTCATGAATTATGAGTTTTCTTTATACATCTCCCTACTCTGAGATATGATTTTCTGAAGAATTGATTTTGTTTTATACAGCATTAAATGTCAATAATTTGTGATGATTCGAACACGAATCTTCATTTACTTTTCGATCTGGCCAATTGAAATATTAAAATGTGTTGAGATATATATGATCAGAAAGAAATATGATTCTACAACAAGGTGAGTCACATTCAATTTCATGCGTGAATGTAATTCATGAGGTTGAGAGCAAATAAATAGAGAAATATAATTTGTCGGACGCAAAATTAGATATTTTAAGATAACAGATTAAAATCCTTAATTTGGTTCACAGATTAAAATCCTTAAATCCTTAATTTGGTTCAGTTGATTGAGAACTAATGCGAGATTGTTAGCCCTCAGGAGAGGAAAAATTGATTTTATTTTATACGGCATTAAATGTCAATAATTTGTGATGATTCGACTCGGAATTTCATTTACTTTTCGATCTGGTCAATTGAAATGCTAAAATGTGTTGAGATAAATATGATCAGAAGGAAATATGATTCTACAATATGGTGAGTGACATTTAATTCCATGGGTGAGAATGTAATTCATGGGGTTGAGTGCAAATAAATAGAAAAATATAATTTGTCGGACGCAGAATTAGAGATTTTAAGGTAACAGATTAAAATCCTCAATTTGGTTCAGTTGATTGGGAACTACTGCGAGATTGTTAGCCCTCATGAGAGAAAGAAATGGGAGTTATGGAGTGAGAACTGGTATCCTCCCAACCTAACTACGGAATTAGGGACCAAACTCTGGATTAATCAATGTTTTTTATACGCTTGACAGAGGGTAAAGAATATGATTGCTCATATTTGGCACAATACAATTTTATACATATTTTTTTAAATGATTTTAATCTCTTCACAATCCATATACTCATTGTAAAGAGGAATGATGTTTTCTTAAATTTGAACTCTTCGTCACAGAAATTTTTTTTAATTTTTATAAGTTTTCTTTTAAAATTTGAAAATATTTTTGTTAACTTAGTTCTTTTAAAAGCATTTTGTTTAACATACACTCAATTACCTTATATTTAAATTTCATATTTAAGTTTTGTAGTTTGAATTTTATGTTTTACATTACAGCCATAAGAATTTTCCAACTCTCTATGGGATCGATACTTAGGACTCTATTAGATTTGAGCGATACGTATACTTGCATTATTATTACGGGTTTGACAATTTAAAGATTTTAAAAGATAAAATTATTTTTACTAAAGTTATTTTTATTGGGATCGAATTGCATATTTATTATTAGTGTTTTGTAATGTTGAAAAAATATTTACAAAAGCAACACACAACAAATCGTGCATCACTCGCCTCGCATCTTCCGGCTCCCTTCTCTCAGCTTCTTTGTCTACTCGCAACGCTGTTTTTAAGAATCATAAGAATCAGCAAAATTTAGGAAGTTCAATTATTCAAGTACTAATTACAAAGTAATGAATCTACTTTTTACATTAAATTCTTTTGTTCTTATCGCAACACTGTTTTTAAGAATCATAAGAATCAGCAAACTAAATATGCATGAGAAATACGTCCGCACGAATCTCGAGGAAAATCAACTGACTAAGAAACAAAAGTGCGGTTAAGTATGACCCACAGAAGAAAGATCAAATATCACATCAATAAAAAATTAAAAGGCCTTATTGACCAAATACAACTCCCTTGGAGCAAAGTCCAAAGTCAGCCGCAAAAAGGCGCAACGAATTAAAGATTAAGATCCATCGAACCAAAAGATGACATCAACCCTACTCTCATACCAACAACGTGAGCCGCGTCACAAGAATCCCCACAACTCTTCAAGGGTATTAAAAGTTCAATCACTACACACTCCATGAACACTCCAGATGGATCTCCTGTCAAGAGATAAGCTAACTGTCAGATTATGGCGATCCACCCACTCGTTGATAGCCTAACCTCATCTTGACGAAAGAAGCTCTCATCTAGGGGTCGACAGTCGACAGCCAGACCAAAGCAGTGGACTAGTTGATTCAAGTCGATCAAGCTAAGTCCAAACGACTGAAAGACAACCACAACCGACCGACTGCCCCAACTCAGCAGAATCGGCTAAACGAGTCTTGTCGATCCAAGGACTATCGATCTGAGTCAGCTGAGTGATGGGATATATGAAGCATAGGATCATTGATCTTTTATACCTAAAATACCTCGTAATGCACCTATAAAAGCAGGAGCAAACATATTATTATACACTTTACTCTCTTGTCTATAAATAGAGGATCATTTCTACAGTAAAGTGTTAATCAGTCAATTATAAATCTACGATGCACTCCCTCTCTCCCTTTTTCTCTGACATGTTCTACGCTCTATATCTTGGGTATGATTCACGGGACAAATTCGAATTCAACAACAATAAACCTCGCTAAAATCCTGCCTAAAATTACAATACCAAACAGCCACTTATAAGCTCCTTCAGTCATGGCTTGGTTATTAGTAATTTATTCTTCTGCTGCACCCCTCAGGCAGAAAAAGCTTAAATCATGGTCAGCTACTTTACACCAAGGGCTTTATTCTTGCCAAGTTTTCAAAACTTCTTTCCACAATATGAAATACATACTTGGATTTTACTAACAGAAATTATGCTACTCAGCAGGGTAAGAAGATAAAAAATTTCTCAAAGAAAGCTAAGCATATTAAGGCAAAGGCATAAATGAAACAGTTCAATATCGAAGAGCCGCAGCAGTAATTGTAAAGAGCACCGCCTTCTACGTAAGTTCCTATGAGCCCAGGGCCAGCTAACATCAATCACTACAGCTCATCATTCCCAATAGCTTGCAAAAATGCGAAGTAAAAGGTAGAAGTGAAGAAAGAAATGTATGCAGCGACTAGTTATATGCATGTACCTGGACTCCTGAGTCTCAAGAATGGAGGCCAGTGCATGGAGGTGCCTAGGATTAGGGTTCACCTCGGCTGCCATGATCTTCGAAATCAGCCTTTGGGTCCGCGACAGCAGCACCTCGTCCTCCGAACACTCTGACCGCGCCTCATTTGATTCGTCCGCTGGAGCTTCCCCCGCTCCGGCCGACTCGGCCACGTCTCCAGGCACAACATCAGTCATCGCACCCGATTCCGGAGTTGGCTCCATCGTTAGCAAGGATCGAGAGAGAACCGCTAGGGTTTAGATTCCCCGGATGGATTTCTTCGCTCGGCCAAATTGATGTACAAGTAGGGGGGGATGAGTATTGAGGAACGGAACTAAAAAGAGGAACGACATGGTAGAATAGTGAGAGGCGTGTGACGCCTCTGATTTATAAATAGGGGATTAGTCGCAAGGTGCAAGAAAGACGCTGAGGTTTTCGCTTCCGCTTTTGCCTTGGGGCCATGCTGCGACTGAAGCAATGTGCACGCACATCTAATCGGATACAAAAAGTAGCCTATACCCAAATTGAAAAGTAAGGCAATTACCACGAGTTCAAAGTAATTATTATATAATACAAATGACTTTAAATATAAATATTTATAGTTATGTAGGACAAGTTATTTTGTTTAATTTGATTTTAATTAATTTGTTATTGATGAGAATTATTTACGATTTTTTGAATTTTTTTTACTGGACTCTAATTAAGGATTATAAATATTCCTCTTTTTGAACAAATGATAAAAAATAAATCTAGAGTAACATTTTGTTGAATTCAAGTATGTCATCTTGATCACACCTAATATATAGAATGTTGGACGGACGAGATGAACAAACAAAGATTCAGAGACTACTAGAGTGTGCAGTAACACCAGAGTTTTGAGAGAGTAATTTTATTACTCATTTATTAGAAAATGGCCTCTTATTTATAGGTTACAGAGCTATCTAGTAAAATTAAATAATTATTCATATTTATGGCATCTTATTTATAGGTTATAGACCTAAAACTCACAAGGTTCCCAAACAAGCTCCAAAATACTTTGGGTATCCCCCAAAAAATTCCGCTTCTAAGCATCAACCTTTGAGAATAGAAAACTTTAATGGACCAGTAAATTACAGATTTGAAAACCCAAAGCCCGGGAAAGCTGAAAGCCAAGAAACCCTCCAAAAGATAGAAAAGGCTTAGAAACCTCTCCCACACTACCCCTAAGGGTCTTCTTCAGAGAATAGCTGCCAAGCTCCATCCTCTTCGCAGAAACCCTAGCTGAGTAGTTCCTTCCGCCACCATCCTGAATATATATATATATATATATACATATACTTATATACAAGAAAATGGCAGAGGTTTTTGCTCTGCTAGGGTTTGTGAGCTGGTGGATTCCTGCTGGCGGCACTGCAGGTGGTGGTGTTTGGGACAACATAATAGGTGTAATCCAATGCCTTTACTGAAGGTGGTAAGGTGTGGTTCACTGAGCTTGGTCAAGATTTGGTGGATTCTTGGTAGAGGTTACTGTTTCATTGGTTTTGGTTGTGGAAAAGTTTAATTTCTTCAGTCTCCCCTCTAGCTGTGAAGAGGTTTGATAGTGAGCTCTCCTTTTTTCCTTATTATGTCTGCTTATAGTTTCTTCAATGGAGTTTCATCCCATTGATGTAGAAGTTAATGCTCAATGGACACAAGCTACTTATGCTGGTGTTGTTGGCAATGGACAGCTAATTCCCAAATCATTTGAACATCTAGTTTTTTCCCAAGCTCTCCATGATGTTGTTGTTGGAAAAGGGTCTTGCCCCATATGTTAACCCCCTGGGCTTAAAAGATGGTGAACCTGCCATTCTTTTTACCCCTGAGGAAATCCATTCTCATTGAATGATACAATTCTCATTGAATAGGAAATCCATTCTCATTGAATGATACAATTAAATTCACTCTAGTTGGAAAATTTCAGTTTGGACATCCAAATATGGATAATGTCAGAAAATTCTTTGAAGAAATAAACCTCACTGGATCCTGGAAGCTGGGTTTAATGGATGGCAGACTCCTATTAATCAAATTATCAAATGAAGAAGATTAAGCTAGAATTTTGGCCAAACAGTCTCTCTTGATTGTTGACACTCCAATGAAATTAATAAGTGGACTCCAAGGTTTGATCCTAGCAAGGAACCTCCTATTGTTCCTATATGGTTCAAACTACCCAACCTCCGTATTCAGTTTTATCATCAAAATGTGTTATTTAATATTGGTCATGCACTTGGCTGCCCTTTGAAGGTGGATGCTCCAACCTATAACTTGGCTAGACCTGTTGGGGCTAGAATACTAATAGAAAGAGATGTAACACTCCTAGATGTGAATAGGGTGTGGATTGGCACTAAAGAAGAAGGATTTTGGCAAAACATTGTGGTGGTTTTGGCAAAACATTGTGGACATTGTGGTGGAACAAAGACCTTACTATTGTCCTCATTGTAGAATGTTTGGGCATACTATAGGAAAGTGCTATAGAATTCATCCTCCAGCTAAAAAGGTTACTAGGCCCCAAAAAGAAGGTGCTTCTATTCAGATGGGAACTCAATCCTTCCCTGATAATGAGGAGAATACAGAAGTCCAATGCGTTGAAGAGGTGGCTCAACTAGCCGTGCAAATCATTGAATTGGGTCAAGGGAATGCTTTGGTTTTAAATCAATCATCTACAACTATTGATAATAATAGAATGGAAGTAACACAGAAGGGGAATGTTTACAGTGTAGGGAGTCAATTAGATATTAACCCTCACAAGGTTGATGATCCTACCATAAATGTTCTAACTGATGTGCTTACAGAAGAATGGCAAGTTCAGAAAAGTCATAAAAAGAAGAAAAGTAAGATGGAATCAAAATAAATTCAGGAAGTTTCTTCTGTTGATGGACCTTCCTCACTTCAACCAATTGATCTATATCCCAGAACTAGAGGAAAAGGGAGGGCCTTTTCACAATGATGAAGTTCCTATGTTGGAATATTCGGGGTATTGCTCACCCCTCATCTCTTAAGAGATTAATACAACTTGTTAGAATTCATAAAGTCTGGTGTTTTGCTGTTTTGGAGCCTATGGTCACAAAGAATTCCCAAAAAATTCTCAAAAAATTTCCTAAATTCAATCATTTTGCTAATTCTAATAACATGATTTGGATCTTTGCTAGAACTAAACTTCAGTGGTTTGTACTTCAAAGCCATTGTCAATTCATTCATATTCAATTCTCTATTGGGGCTCAAATTGGTAGGCCACTTTGATATATGCTAGTTGTATTGCTGATTTAATGCAAATTGAGGTTTTTTTCTCCTGCGGGGTTCTTGGGGGGGGGGGGATTTTAATTGTGTTACATCCCCTACTGAAAGAAGATGAGGCAAACCCCCTCTTGTATCTTCTATGAATAGATTTAATGAGTTTTTTTTTCTGATCCTGCCTTATTTGATTTGGGTTATCAAGGTGCAAAATTCACTTGGAGGAGGGGCTCAATGTGGGAAAGGCTAGATAGAATGCTGGGGAATTCTATGTGGCTTCAGAGTTTCCCTTTTACTATCATTTCTCATCTTGCAATGTATGGCTTTGATCATAGGCCACTTATTTGTTCTATTCAAAATGTTGAATGCCCTAAAAGCTCTCCTTTTGGATTTCAAAATATGTGGACTCTTCATCCTAAATTTCTTGGGGAAATTACTAAGGTGTGGAGCTCTAATGGTGAGGAGAACTCCTGGATTAATCTGTGGCACCTTCAAAATAAAGTTGCTGCTCACCTGAAAAAGTGGAATTGGAACACCTTTGGGAATATTCATGAGAAATTAACTACTGCTCAGAATAAGGTTCTTAATTTGGAAAAGGGGTTTCAAAGGGGAGTAAACTCTGAATTGGATGTACATAAAGCTAATGAAGAACTTCTTATGGAGATTAATTATACTGAAAGTTTCTTGAAGCAATAGGCAGATGTTACCAAATTCATTGAGGGGGATAGAAATTCCAGCTTTTATCATGCATGTATTAATTTCAGGAAGAAATGTAATATGATTTTATCAATTACTGATTCTGCAGGGAGCTGTTTATCTGATGCAAAGGCTGTTGCCCAAGATGCTGTCAACTATTTTCAGAACCTTTTCAATAATCAACCATCTTCTAGATCCCATATCAATACTGAGCTTTTATCTGACTGCAAGGAGTATGTCTATAATTTTGGATCTGATCAGTATTTCTTTGGAAGGGGAAATTAAGGCAACACTAGAATCTATTGATGGACACAAGGTGGCTGATCCAGATGGTTTTACTACTAATTTCTATAAGGTTTCTTGACCTCTAATTAGTGGAGATTTTATAGCTGCTGTAAAAGACTTCTTTAAGGGAGTGGACCCCCCAAGGTATTTCACTGCTTCTACCATCACTCTGATTCCCAAGAATCAAATAAGGAAAAGCTGGGGAGAATTCAGACCCATCAGCCTACAATGTGCTATCCAAAGTTATTAGTAAGATCATTGTCGCTAGGCTTCAACCCACCTCCAACAACTTATCAGCAACAATTAGGTGGCTTTTGTTAAAGGAAGAAATATCACTGAAAACATCTTGTTGTCTCAGAAACTTTTGTTGGATCTGGATAGAAAATGTAGAGGCAGTAATATTATTTTCAAATTGGACATAAAAAAAGCATATGATACCATCAACTGGGACTTCATTTTGGAAAATTTGGCAGCTAGGGGCTTCTCTAGGTATTTCATCAATCTAATTAGAAGATGGCTCAAATGTAACAACCATACTATTTTAATTAATGGGCAAAGCCATGGTTTCTTCACTACCTCTAGGGGAATCAAACAAGGAGACCCCTTGTCACCCACTATCTTTATTATGGCCATGGATTATCTATCAAGACTGCTGAACCAAATGTTTGATTCCTCTCCTTATTGGGCTTATCATCATAGAATAATATTGGTGAGAGTCACTTATCTTATGCAGATGATGTTATCATTTTCTCCAGAGCTACAATGACTGCTGTCAAGACTTTGTATCAAGGGCTTAAACATTTTCAACAGACTTCATGTATGGATCTTAACAAACAGAAATGTCAGATTTTAACTAGCTCTCATATTAATCCATAGATAAAGCATTGGATAGTCCAATATACTGGTTTTAGCCGGGCCACATTACCAATCAAATATCTGGGGGTTCAGCTAATTAAAGGAAGAACCAAGCAAACTCAATTTAATGAAGTTATTGATCATATCAAAACTCAACTGCAATGTTGGACAAATTCCTTCCTCTCCAATGGAGGAAAAATCACTCTGCTAAAAAGTATCTTGACTGTCATTCCTTCATATGCCCTTCATATGTTCACAATGAAGAAATGAACTCAAGTTTTGTTGGGTAGAATGTTTAATAAATTCTTCTGGGCTGGACAGAAGAAGCAATTTCATTGGTTGCCCTGGCAAAAACTTTGTAAGCCACTTCATGCAAGTGGGCTGGGTTTTAAAGACTTCCAGCAGCTTACTTTCATAAATCTGTG